AATAGAATAGAATAGAATAGAATAGAATAGAATAGAATAGAATAGAAGTACAAGATAATTCTTTATTGGCCAAGTGTGTGATTGGACACACAAGGAATTTGTCTTGGTGTAAATACTCTCAGTATACATAAAAGAAAAGAGACATTCGTCAAGAGTTGAAAATCATTAGGTACGACACTTAATGATAGTCATAGGGTACAATAAGCAATCAAATCATACTAGGAAACAGACAACATAAATCGTAAAGATACAAAGTTACAGTCACACAGACACAAGTGGGAGGGGATGGGTGATAAGGAGTGATGAGAAGATTAACAGTAATAGTAGTGCAGACTTTGTAATAGTTGAACAGGGTTGAGGGAATGGTTTGTTTAGCAGAGTGATGGCTTTCGGGAAAAAACCGTTCTTGTGTTATAACTGAAATGGTTGCCAAAGGCTGACACACACGATTCAGAAAAAAACCAATACACAAGCCTGAGGATGGCAGATGAGATTCTGCCGAAATGTCGCTATAACTTTAAAAGCACAACTATTAAGACATGGCAAAATACCTGAAGAAACTGCCTGCACTGGCACGAAGCCGAAAGCACCAGCCTGACGATGGCGAGTGGGACCTCGCCGAAACATCGCCAAGATACTCTTAATCTTACATGGGAAAAGACCTGAACACACCTAGACCTACATATGTGTGTGTGTGTGTGTGTGTGTGTGTGTATGTGTAGATGTATATATATATATATATACTATTACTGTTAAATCTTCTCATCACTCCTTATCACCCATCCCCTCCCACTTGTGACTGTATGACTGCAACTTTGTCGCTTGTATCCTTACGATTTATACTGACTGTTTCCTAGTATGATTTGATTGCTGATCGCACCCTGTGACTATCATTAAGTGTTGTACCTTTTGATTCTCGACTCCTGATGAATGGATCTTTTCTTTTATGTATATTGAGAGTATTCGCACCAAGACAAATTCCTTGTGTGTCCAATCCCACTGGGTCAACAAAAGTATTCTATTTTAACTGTGGTTCCCTGATGTGAGGATAGCACCTGCCTAATGTGTTTTAACCTGGCTAACCTGGTTCTCTTCCCGGTTGCTGGGTGGGCGTGGCCTAATCGGCCTCCTGCACTATGGGGGGGGGGTGTTTTGGTCCTTCCTGGGATCCAGAGGCTTTCTTCGAGCCTCCAGGAGGGCGAACACGGCCTCCGCCAGGCTCTGGAGGCCTGTTTCCACCTTGTGGAAATCCTGTTTTTCACCCTTCCTGAGCTTCCGCGCAGGGCCTGCCAAACAGGCTGTGTGGAGACACGTGGAAGGGGCGGGGTGGCGTGGGTGGGGCCAACCAGTCATTGCAACTATTGGTTCAGCGAACCAGATGTAAAATTAACACCCAGTTCATCCGAACTAGCAACAACCCACCCGTGGACCAGATTCACTTAACAACTGTGTTACTCAAAGAACAGCTGCAGGGATTCACTTAACAGCCGGGGCAGTAAAAGGTCGTAAAACGGGTCAGAAACTCACTTAACAACTGTCTCAGTCAGCAGACGGTAAAGGACAATAATAAAAACAAGGACAAACAGGCTGAAAAATAGCTTCTATCCCAGGGCAGTAGCTCTATTGAATTCTACTGTCTAGTGCAATATTAATGCGATATCAGGGATGTGATGACCCAGGGTCAGAGGTGGGATTCTACCTATTCGCTAGAACCGGTTATTAACATTCTAAGCAGTCCGGAGAACCGGTTGTTAGAAGAAATTACTGGCCTAATCCTGTAAGGAAGGCAGGAAGGAAACATCCTGGTGTTGCTTACAAAAGCTGCTTCTCTGTTAACCCTTATTACATTCTTGGCAGGACTAGACTTCCTGTCTCAGGAACTTCTCTGGAGTTTTTTCCCCTTCCTTTGCTTGTGTGGAGTGACCAATCAAAGTTACAATGGCACTGAAAAAAGTGACTTATGACCATTTTTCACACTTACGGCTATTGCAGCATCGCCATAGTCATGAAAGGCCAGGCAAGGAGAGGCGTGCCTCGATGTGAGTGATGTTGAGTTGGCAACGCCCAGCCAATAACATGATCACCAAGCCATGCTCACCCAGGCACATGACCACCAAGCCACACCCATCGATTAAGCCATGCCCACAGAACTGGTTATTAAAAAATTTGAATCCCACCCCTGCCCACGGTGTCACACAAAAATAACCAAGTCACAAAAGTAGAATAAATTCCCTTTAATGCCTCCAACCTGGCCCCCAATCTCCAAATCAAACTCTTTCAAAAACAGTATATGAAGGGAAGAAATGCAGTCCAAACCCAAAGTAAAGATAATTAGAAATAAAAAAAACTAACACAAATCACACTAAAGTAATTAACACGGCAGGCCAGGATGATAAATTGCAGACTTCCACAAGATAACGCAGCACCCACAGTTGGGAGGATGCCAAAATCCAGATAAGCCTCGACCAAGATAATGCACGCTTTGCTTCCAGCAAGGAGCTGTGTGGAAACGCCCCACTTATATCCTGTTCTCTCAGCTGCAACTAATGAAAGGGATCAGGGCCTTTTCCTCTGTCATAAGCCATGTTGCTCCCTTCTCCGTTCCTCCCTGCGTGCCCAAGGATGAAGAGGGAGTGGCCCTGGGTCTTCCTCTGAATGCCCAGCCGGACTGGGCCCTTTCCCAGTTTCCTCCACAGCCACCAGAGCCACACTCCCACTCCCTGTCAGTTGCTTGACTTCCACCTCACCCGTTGGGGGGTGGTCATTGTGGCCAATGTCAACTTCAGAGGCTTCTCTTCTTTTTGTAAGGCTGGTTCTAACCATCTTTCCTTGCTTGTTGTTACAGAAAGAAGCAGATGAAACTCTCACCACCAATGTCTGGCTTGAGCAAGTGAGTTGCCCTGTTTCTCCCAGATGTTTTAAGATAGCCAAGCTGGCCCTTCGGATGGCTGAGGGACATAAGTGATTTGGTGAACTCTAACCCCTCACCCCTAACCCCTCACTCCTAACCCTAGCACTTTGGTTAGCAGATCTGGACGGATTATCGGCTGCAATGGAACAAGGAGGAGTACGGAGGGGTCAGTTTGCTCCGTCTCCGGCCGGAGATGGTGTGGCTGCCGGACATTGTTCTGGAGAATAAGTAAGCTTCTTGTTAGATTCAGAATTGATAACTTCCAATGAGTTTTGCATTTAATAGTGCTCTCTCTCTCCCTCCCTCCCACTCTCTCTCTTATCTCAATTCAGTACTCTCTCTTTCTGTGTTCTATCTCTCTATCATCTATAATCTCTCTTTCTTTCTATCATCTATCATCACTCTATCTATCTATCTATCTATCTATCTATCTATCTATCTATCTATCTATCATCTATTATTATCATCTGTCTATATCCATCTATCTCTATCATCTATCTATTTATCTATTTATCTGTCTATCTATCTATCTATCTATCTATCTATCTATCTATCTATCATCTATCTATTATTATCATCTGTCTATATCCATCTATCTCTATCATCTATCATCTATCTATTTATCTATTTATCTGTCTGTCTATCTATCTATCTATCTATCTATCTATCTATCTATCTATCTATC